CTAAATTTTCCTTACACATAAAATTTAATACAAAATTTTTAGTTTTTAAACCATGTGACTAACTCTTTCTAAAGTACACATAGACTTTTATAAACCAAGATGTTATACAGTGTCTGTTTAAATATTTTCTTAACATTTTAAGAGTGATCCCATGCTCCCAGCTGTTAGCTATTTTGTGATTATACTCTTGCATACATAGAAACTTCAGGGACCTGTGCTCTTCACTAAAATGACTTTAGACTTTATAGCGTTTTGAATTTTCACATTTGCCTTTCTTGGTTTTCCTGATTCCCTTACTCAGAACCTGTTGTCACTTCCTATTGCTGTCATGTAAATAACAGTCCTAATAAACAACAGTGGTTACATCACTAACCAGGGTTTCTATGGTGGTTCACAACCAACACAGAAATATTAATTAAATATTGGTTTTGATCTTCACCACAATCCTATGAGAATAACTCAGTTTTTATATTAGTTACCTTTGAAAGCAAATGCATCAAGAACTTTACACAGAAACACTCTTTTATGCTCACTCTTGGCCTCTTGGTGACTGAAGATTCCCTTGCTTATTTGGTTCTAGTAGGAATACATTTCTATATTTAACACCACCTTCTTTGTATTTTCTGTGTTTTTGAGCTATCTTAACAGAAACTGAGCATTTGAAGTTAATTGGACAGCTTTGTTTAATTATGCCAGAAGCAAGCACATTAGGAAATTGTATTAACTTGATAAACTAGACACGTGTTATAAATATGAGAGGCATAATTATTAATTTCAGTGGTTTTAATTTTAAGCTTACTATTTCTTTCAATCTGTCTAAAAGAATGGACTATACTAATGATGCCCATTAATTATGTCAAATCCTTTTATCATGAAACCTCAATTGCAAAATGTATGGGAAATATAATGACCTGAGCTATCTCCTTATGGTTTAAAAAAACATATACTAGTATCATATGACTTAAATTCCCTGTCTTATAAACATAATCATTTTAATGTGTATTGTTTATGTTTGTTTATGAATGAATTCAACTGAATTGGCATTGGGGTTTATTTTCACAAATGTAAAAATATCAGCTATAGAAAACATTGGCATCAGAGGATGCAAACAATATACAATTCAATAATCATAGTTAAATAGATTAAATGTCTAACATCAAATCTATACTTTCATTAGATACATGGATAGATACAGCATATATGCAGATTTTGAGTTCCTTATTACTAAGCTATTCAATATAGAGGCTACTCAATTATGTGGTTAAAATACATCAATTTTGGGCCAAAGGATGTTATCTAATATCAACATAAATTATTGGATGAAATAAGTTCTAATAAGAAATTTTAATGATATTTATAGCAAATATATAGCTGTATAGGTACACCACAAAAATTATTACTGTTTGCTGATTTATTCAAACTCTTATTTAACTTGAATAATATAGGTCTCAATAATCTGTACTGTTGATCATGCTAGACATTATTGTTTTAAGAAAGTAAAAAGCAAGACAAGAAAGTATAAGCACACAGGGTGTTAGTATTAAACTTTGTTACTTGGTTATTTCTATAGACTGCTTAAATGAAAATCATCTTGTTTGTAATACATGCTTTAAATGGGTTAATCTCCTTTCACATTTTCCAAGCTCATTTACCACTGAGAAATGCAGATTCCTCCTGGAAGCTTTGCCTCACTTCAGTTTCAGAAGCATCTGAGGTTTCACATCCCAAGCTCTTAAAAACTCTTTCACTCTCCTGCCATGTCTTCTGGAAATCCCTTCTGAGCTCTTCAGGTGACTCTGTGATATCCAGGATGTGGCCAGCAATCACATCTTCATAGGTTGGTGGGGCATGCTTGAAGTCAAAGCCAGATCTGCCAGTTTCTGAGCTATGTGATGTTGCCACTTTTGACCCAACAATCTGACTCTCAAATGCATCCACGCCTGAGAAATGTTCATTCAGAAATCTTGCCTCGGTGTGACCCCTGGGCTGTGTAGCAGGGATGTTTTCCTGGAACTCTCGGGGATGTTTGTAAGAAAGATCTGTAAAATTCGCATTTCCTAAGGATGTTAATCCAAATTCTTCTTTGCAAAATATGTGACTTTCTTGTTTTGTGTTTTGATTTGCTTCTCCATTTGCATAAACTCTTCTCTCTGATTTTCCTTCAAAAATTGGGCCATTCTCAAATTCCCTAAACCATCTGTTTATTTCATTTTCGTGGTCATTCAGGAAACGTTCAGCCATTTGAACAGTTTGATTGGCAGATTCATATCTCTGTGTATGTTCTGACAGGCAAGGGCCTTCCACCTTGCGAATGATTTCCACTGCATCATAACTTTCAGTATCTGGCATTAAGCTCTTGATGGAATTCCTTCTATCTTTATGAACAAAAGTTTCTCTTTTCTCTATTTTCCTCACTTCCTCTTGAGCTTCCACAGATTCTCTGAAGGAACCACTCCCAATGTGATTTATACTTACAGGTATTGTTATGGTAGGTGGAGAGTCCCTGCCACGGCTTTCTATCTTAATTTGACGACGAAGGGTTGCTGGAGACATAACAACTTCAGATCTCTTCTCTACAATCGGTACTGGGGTTCCTGGTGGGCATGCCATAGTGCCTCTGGCTAACTTTGCAGTTGTGTCTTTGAGTCTGACAAGTTGTTCAGAGCGACTCCTGGGTGGAGATGGGGATGTGCTTGTTTGGTGAATTCCAGATGTTTGCACTATGGGTCTTCTGAGTGGGGTTTCAGTACCACTGTCCTTTTTAGGGACCTGACAAAGCTCATCCTTAGTGGGGATTTCTGCTCGTCGGGCAGTGGATGCAATTGTTATAAAAGTTGGTGATGGTGGTCGAGTTTTTAAAGAAGGAGGAGAAACCTTGCTATCCTCTCTCTTAGGCTCTTGATGTGTTTCAGCAGGAGTGTAAGAAGCTGTTTCATGATGAGTTGCTATTTGCTGCTGCACTGATTTTTCCTCTACAATTTTATTTTCTTTCTGTTCAGTGCATTTATTACAACTGGCTTCAATCTTAGGTGCTTTCAGTGATGTTTCATTAAGACTAGTGGGCTTATTTTCCTGTTTTCCTGTTTGGGAAACTATCATGGCTTTTTGAATTATGTTTTCACAGTACTCAAGCATATCCTCTGCCTGGGTTTTAATATGTGTTATTTCTTCTTTGACTTTTTCTAAATTATTCTCCATGGCAACACGAACTCCATATTCTCTTTTTTCTCCACTTATCAGCCATCCTGGAACAATATTTAACAGTATCTGAAATGTTTTAAGGCCACTTTTATTTGACTCAGCTTCAAACTGCTTTACTCTAGACAAAATCTGCTGTAGCTCTTCACGTTTTCTCAAAAATTCTAATATATTTACAACACATTTTCCGTTGTCCTGTTGGGATTCTTTCACAGAGGAAAATGAAGATTTGTTCTGTGTAATCTCTTGTTCTGAATCTTTAGTGTTAGAGAAGATCTGTTTCTGTTTCATGCCCTTGTCTCTAAGATACTTTTTTCCCTGCACAGTATTAGATGACTGGGATAATTTTTTATGTTCAATTGCCCCTTCAGAAGTTTGTATTTGTGTTTGCTGAAAATTTTGAGTCTGTGAATCAAGATGCACATCAATAATCTTTTGTTTGAACACCTTTGGTGCTGCCTCTCTCAAATGCTCCTGTTTTCTTTCTCCTACTAATCTGTCTTCTTTTGGCTTGTTCATTGATGAGCCCTGACTTTTTTCTTCACTCCCTAAGGGATTTCCTTTGCTAGATTCCCTAGATTCCCTCTGCTTCTCAGGAAACATTTTGAGCTTACTTTCATGATTTTTCTTTGAAGTTTCTGAAGGCACTTGTATTGTTACTCTTCTCTCTGTTTTAGGTAAATGAACATATTTTTCAGCCACAGATTGCTTATTATTGTATTCTGTGCTTGTTTCTTTTATCTTGGTTTCCTGATTCTGTTGTCTGGAAATGGTGTGAACATCAACTTCAGATTGCTGTAGGTGACTTTCATAACTGAGACCTGTTTCGTTCAATGTATGATCTAGAGTTGGAAGCTTGATGGTTTTAACTTTGAAAGCTGGGGAAACCAGTTTGCTTTGGGGTGAGGGCAACATCTCATACTTCTCTAGTGTTTGCTGCGTGCCACAATCTTTGTGACTCTGGTTGATATCCCAAGCTGATTTAGATTGCAGAATGTCCCTTGAGCTCTCCAAGACTTCTTTCCCCATGTTCTGCTTGTCTTCTGATGCTGCTAGAATATGCTGGAGTTTCCCAGTAGCAGCTGTCACTGCTGAAGCTGTGGAGAACTGGCTGTTGGAGCACGTGCCTGAAATGGGAGCACTGCTTTTAGAGTTGGGGTGGGGTTGGGCCCCAGTGAGCTCAGAACCTTTTCTGAGTTCTGGGACCTCCTCAGCTGTTTTTTGCAACGGTATTTTTTTCTCCAACTCTGATATGTTTTGGGTTGAGATTTCTGTTTTGACAATGTCGTGGCAAGAAGTCCCCTGTCTCAGTTTTTCAAGCTCTTCCCTTTGTTGTCTATATTTTTCTTCAGCGATCATTAACGGGGTCTTAAATTTTCTCATGTAAGGTTTTGGACTTTGCTGTTCTGCACTTGCTGGAAATGAGTGGGATTTTACAAGAGGTGCTTTCTGTTCTCCTTTGGGTGCTGAGGTTTCTGGAACTGTCTGTGAGAGAGGCTTTGCAGAGTCAATGGACAGCTGCTTCCTCTCACTGAGATTTTTCCTGAATACGTCCTGCTTTATCTCTGTGTGCTCACTGCTCACTGCCACCAGTGAACTCTTCTGATCTTTTGAGAGAGTGGTTTTAATTTCCATATCTGACAAAGAGTGTTCCCATTCAACATTTGGAGAAAGCTGGTTTCTTTTATCTCTGAGTCGCTTGGGAAGTTTGGGTTTGGGGAGTGTGGGAGGTGGTGTTTTCCCTGTTATGATTTTAGCCTGTGAGTGAATCTGCTGAGACCCCAAGGCTTCTTTGGGGGAATATTGTATGAATGCTTTACTGTGCTGTTCTGGAAGAGAAGAGGAAAGATGTACTGACTGTGATGGTGTTGGAAGAGGTGGAGGAGGTGGGAATGTTGATAGGCATTCTCTTTCAGATTTCTCATCCACTGGTGGTGGAGGAAGAGGGAGGCTTAGGGAGTTTTCAAATTCAGCTCTCATCTTCTCTCTGGATTGTGAGGAAGGAAACTCATTTTTTTCGGACAACAGCATTAAAGGAGGTGGAGGAGGGAGAGGAAATTCAATTTCAGATGATGTATTAGAAGGTGGAGGAGGAGGGGGAGATGGAGGTGGAAGGGAGCCTTCACTTTCTTTTAAATTGTACTCAGGGTGAAGGTTGATTGGATTAAAGGACCTCTCCATTGCCATCTTTAACTCTTTGGAAGTATTTGTCTTCATTAGAAAGTCCTGGCTTTCTAGATACACATCAGTTTTCTGCTTTTTGTCAGTTGCCTGGAATTTTTTATGGCTTTTCCCGGAGACTTTTTCTTCTGTTGCATTGGAAATGTCCTGATATACAGGCAAAGGTTGAAGGTTCATCTTATTTTTCTTCATATCTTTATTAGAATATTGCTTCTCTTGCCTTAACAAGGTTTGCTTCTGAAGGTCCCTTGTCACCTCACGTATTTCACCAACTGGCTTGTTGACTGGCTGCTGGGAGGAACCTGGTTTGGAACTTCGTTCCTCTGCTGAGGTGTTAATGTTCTTGATATGTTTTTGACTCTTCACATAGAAATCCTGGGCCTGGGACTTGTAGCGGTCATTCCTTTGTTCGCACGTCTGAGGAGTCTGTTGCTTTCTAAGTGTGTTATCCACAGACTGAGGGAAATTAGGGATGAAGTCTTCCTTCGGTTCTCTCACAGTATCTGATTCCTTTGTTTTTAGATTTTCCTTCACTGACACAGTTGAAATTAACTGTCTGCTCATATGGTCACCACGCGGCTCTTCTTTGGCCTCAGTCCAGAAAACCATTCTGTCACCCATTTCCAACACGTCTTTCGTAGCTCTGCGTTCTGCCTTGGATAGCCTTCTAAGGCTTTTCTCAAGAGCATCATTGTTTTGTTCACGATCAACGACTATCTTTACTGTGCCCTTGGGGGCTTTGGGAAGATTAGCCTCAGTTCTTTCTTCTGTTAAAGTCCTATGGCTGGATTTCTCTGTAGTTTCTGTGCCTGCTCCTGGTTGCCGCACGGCTGCTGGTTCAAATGGTCCTGGCCTTGGCTGGAGAATATTTTTTTTGTCTTTCTGGGCAGCGGCTGGATAAATCTCTGCTTCCTGTTTTCCTGAGGACCCTACTATTGCAGGTGGTACATCTTTGATTATTTCTTCTTTAGCAACAACTTCTTTAAAACCTCTTTGTGCTTCTTTCAAGGACCTTAATGATGTTTCAAGATCATCTAGAATAAGCTCTTTTTTCAGGATTTCTGTCCGTGTATTTGTAGCCTTCTCAAGGCATTCAATAGCTTGCTCGATATCCCCAGGGACACTACCGGACTGCTTAGATTCTTTCCATTGGTCATCTGACTCCTTAAGTGACTTGAATGTAGCCAACATGCCATCTTTTATCATTTCTTCTGTTTTAGCCACTGTTTTGTGATTTATGGCCTGGTTGAGAGAATTCAAGGTTGATTTCAAATCACCTTTTATAATCTCTTCTTTGCGTGCCTTATAAGATGAACTCTGAGGCTCTGTCATAAAGACTTTAACTATATTATGAACATCTCCTGGGATGATGTCAGTTTCGTTAACAGTACGTTGAAACTGGCATTGCCTGTTCTTTAGTAACATTTTTGTGTCCTCAACGTCACCACCAATTGTTTCTTCTTCTTCCTCTTCTTTCCTAGTTGTGAATATTTTATTTGACCCTGTTTGGAGTTGTTTGAGGTAATCCAAAGCTCCAGTTTCTATGCATGTTGTGACGAACTGAACATTTCCCCTCTCCGAGGCATCGATTTTTGTCCTTTCAGATATTTTACTGCTTGATGTAGAAGATAACAGGTTATGAATGGTACGTCTCACATCACCTCCTATTACTTCCTCACGCTCAATCTTGTCATCAGCATTTTCATGGAGAAGACAATAGATAGTCATGTTAATATCTCCTTTTTCATCTTCCTGAATTAAGATGCCTTTCTTTGCAGCTCTCTCCTCTGATAATAGGTTTTTTATTGCTTGTTGTACATCCCCTCTCACTACCTCTTCCTTTTCAGCATGAAATTCAGTTGATCTGTTTAATAATTGAGTTTTTGTCAAACTGACATTTCCCTTCTCTTCTTCACTAACCAATATCTCTTTCTTTGTACAGTCTCTCTTGGAAAGTAAGTTCATCATTATACTTCTGAGATCTGCCCTGATAATTTCCTCTTTCTGTATTTCAGGAGTTTCTTGGTTCATGAGCTTGTATTTTGCCATCCGAACATCCCCAATTTCATCGGCTTCAAGGATAATTCCGGGAGCTTCAATCACTTTTTGAGAATAGAGGTCTTCCAAGGTTTCTCTAATGCTCTTGCCAATAATTTCTGCCTTTTCCACTCTATTTTCATTAAATTCATGAATAGGTGTTGTTTCAAAGAGCCATGTAGTTGTCTTGACATCAGATGGAGGAATTGCTTCCTTGCTAACTTTTGTGCTGTTTTCATCTGCTTCCTTAATAGAATCCAATGTTCGATTTTCAAAAAGCCACACTGCCTGCTTAACATCACCTTTCTGCACATCTTCCTGGGTAACAGTCTTCATATTTGGATACCCAAATCCTTCTCTTCCTAGCTCGTCTATACTGTGAGTTTCAAATAGCCAAGTAGAAGTCTTAACATTGCCCTTTCGTATTTCACTGACACTAACTGTTCTTATGTAACCCTTCTTATTGCTTTCAGACTCAAAGAATTGTTTACTTGTCTTCACATTGCCACCTTGAATGGAGTCAACAGTGTGCACAATATTATGTGATTCTTCTGAAATCTGATCCAGTGGCTGAGTTTCAAATCTGTATCTGACGTTCCTAACATCCCCCTTCTGAATATCTTCCTGAGTGACAGATTTAATAACATATATGTTTTCTGACTTGTTAATTGAGTCTAACGGTTTTGTTTCAAAAAGCCACCATGTTCCTCGTACATCTCCATGAATTACCTCTTCTTTTTTAACTGTTGTCACTTCGTGATAAAACCCTTCTTGATCCTGAATTGCATAGAGTGGCTGTGTTTCAAACAGCATTCTGTAGCTTTTTACATCACCTTTTATTATTTCTTCAGTACTTGTTTTCCTGGTGCTGATATAGTCAGTTTCTTCCTTAATCTCGTCTAAAGAAAAAGTCTCAAAGATGAAGCACCCCTTTCTCACATCTCCACCTTGTATGTCTGTCACTGTCTTAACCAATCCATCACCTTCTTGGTTTTCTTTTATCATATCAATGGGTTGGTTTTCAAATAGCCACCTGCAGCGTAAAACATCGCCTCTCTGAATGTCTTCAGTTTTTAGGGTTTTGATCTTGTTCAAAACTTCCTCTGAACTACAACTGATAGAATCTAAAGACTGGTTTTCAAATTTATACTTCATGCCAGAGACATCCCCAGCTTGGATAACCATTTCCATAGGCTTAGTTTCTTTCCCTTCTTCTCCCTGTATGTTGTCTAAATTTTCTGTCTCAAAAAGAAAACATGCTGTACGAACATCCCCACCTTGGATCTCTTCCTGTTTTACAGTCTGCAACTTGACTGTTGCTTCAGAGTTGTCCTTTATGCTATCAAGTGGCTGAGTTTCAAAGAGCCAGGTACAGGTTCGGACATCACCCTTATGAATATCTTTACTGCCAGTTGTCAAGGAAACCTTTTCATAAAGAGTCTCCATTGGTTGGGTTTCAAAAAGCCATTTACAGGTTTTGACATCCCCTTTAACAATATCTGTTGTTTCTTCACTTTTGTTTTCTGTTTCTTCTGCATCGCTAAAATATTTAATTGAATCAAGAGGTTGGGTTTCAAACAACCATTTAGCAGATTTCACATTCCCCGTCTGTATTTCCTGAGCAGATATTCCTCTAATGATCTGAAATTTATGAAGACTTTCATCAAACTGGTCAATGGGCCTTGTTTCAAAAAGCCACCTGCAGCTTCTCACATCACCTCTTAGAATTTCTTCTTGTTGGACTGTCTTTACTTGATGGTATTTTCCAAGATGATCTTGAATGGCATACAGTGGTGTTGTCTCAAAGAGAGATTTATTCAGCTCCACGGCCCCTCTTGTGACTCCCTCCACTTTAATTTTATGGGATGCATCCACTTTAATTAAGTTATTTGATTCAAAGATGTGCTTGTAGTTCTTGACATCACCTCTGTCAACTTCTTCAAGTTTCACCGTTCGTGTATACTCCTTTTTATCTTCTCTAATCTCTTCTAAGGGTTGGGTTTCAAAAACCCATTTTTGGTGCCTAACATCCCCCTTTTCTTCTTTGGATGCAGTAATTTTTTGAAGCTTTCCAATATCAGGACTATCTTTTAAAGCCTCTATTGGAAGTGTTTCAAATAGATGCTTGGTGGTTTTTACATCACCCCCTATTCTCTCTTCAGGTGATACAGGATCTGCATCAGGAATTTCTTTTAGACTGTCTAGTGGCTGGGTTTCAAACATCCAACACTTTTTTGAAACATCTGTACCTATTATCATTTCTTTTTTAAGGATGACCTCATTTGACTCTTTGATTTTCTCCAGTGGTTGGGTTTCAAATAACCACTTCGCTTTACTCACCCCACCTTTGATATTTTCTTCCATGGATATTCCTCGGACAATTTTAATTTCTGTGGCATCCTTGTTAATTGTGTCCAAGGGCTGTGTTTCAAACATCCAACGGGCTGTTCTCACATCCCCCTTTTCAATGTCTTCTCTATGCACAGTTTTAATTTCTAGCATTTGGCCTGAACCATCTCTAATAACGTACAGTGGTTGAGTTTCAAAACACTTTATACTTCTCTTAACATTTCCCTTAATTTCTTTGAGCTCAGATCTGAGCTGCAGTAAGTTAACTTCATCTATGGAATGAAGCTGTCCAAGTTGATCCACGTGCTGAGTCTCAAACATGTATCTCACAGTCTTAACATCTCCCCCAGTGATGTCCTTGGTAACAGTTACTGTTGATTCTTCTTGATTTTGATGCGTTCTGTTCATTGAGTCTAATGGCTTTGTTTCAAACATCCACCTTGCTGTACAGACATCTCCTCTAGCTAGCTCAGGAATTTTCTCAGTGTTTTCTTCAGTGCCGGTAGAATGAGCCCTGAGTGTATCTATTGGTTGAGTTTCAAACATCCAAGTAGTATATTTCACATCACCCCCAGCAATGATCTCTTGGTCAGCAATGCCCTTGGTAATATTACCTTCACCTGGAGAAGCATTGTTGATAGAATCTAGTGGCTGATTTTCAAAGACCCACCTTATTGACTGCACCTCTCCTTTCAGAATTTCATCCCACTCCAAGTATTCTCTTTGTGAATTCAGATCTTTCTGAGAACTGTCATTTGTATTTTCAAAAACATACCGAGCTTGTTGTACATCTGCTGAAACTGAGCTTCCCAAGTTTGTTTGGCTAGAAACAATCTCAGAAACATCACTGATGTAATCCTTTTCTAAGTTTTTTCTTAACTCGGGATGGATATGTTTATATAAACGGTTTAATTCATACAAATTTCTTTGTTTGGAATATAGCTCTTTAGAGATTGGTAGTCTTCTAGGAGGGCTGGGCAACTCAGGGGACTGGGAAAATGCTGTCATGTCTATTGGAGTTTGAAGCAAATCAGACGGGGGAGGAGGGAGTTCTTCCATCTTTCCTGAAGGAGTGGCATTAACGTGAGCCAGAGCTGATGAAGTGATGCTGTGATTACTGTAACTGGAGGTTGAGCTTTCTTTCCTTTGGCTGCTTGAAGTGCAAGAAGAGGAGGTACTCACAGTTGACAATGGCTTGAAATTTTCTTCACTGTCACTTTCAATCTTTAAGGAAAAGAAAATCGAAGCTTATAAAGATGAGGGTGGTATCAGAGACTTCCCAGGCCCTACCCTTCACTTGTCCACAACAAGGATCCTGTTGTGACACCTTCCTTGGAAAACAAATATCCACTACAATATTTATTATTTGTTACTATATTTCAGCCCTTTTTTTACTAATACAGTTATATTCTCCAGTCAATTTGCCAGTGATTCAGTATTTTACTATTTACCCACACTCTGGATTTCCGCCTCTTAATGAGCAGAGAGAGTTACAGAAAAATAGCTAAAATCATGAAGTACTTTTACAAGTTCCTTTGTTTTTCCTGAAATTTAAAAGAGAACATAGTAAGCATATGACATTTACAATGGACTTTGTTAGTTTACGTGATGATAAATATGGAGTAGGTTATGTCTAACTTTTCTTCCTTCATGTGCTCTATTGAAAACATGTTTTAATCCTCTTTCCTGTGTAGATCAATAACCTCTTTATCAAACAGAATAAAGGCAAATTCAAACTTTTGTTAAGAAAACACCTCAAAACCAGATCTTTTTGTATATGAAAGTCTGATTTTTATACTTAGAATGCTCCTGTAGAGAAATTACCTTACCTTTATATACTTGGCTGAAGTTTCTGTTTCTTTATCATAATAGAGAAACTTTTCCTGGGCAGACTTTTCGAATTGTTCTTTTAAAAGCTTAGTTGAAACCTTAGGAGTTTCTTTATCCTCAGGTGAATCAATGACTGCAAAATGAAGCCGATGCTGGGATGTTATATAATCAATGAAATGGAGTTTGAGAAGAAAATAACAATACTACAGGAAACTCATAATATACATTTACAATATAAATTTAAGGAAAACTGAAAAGACAAATTTATGCATATGGCATTACTTCATCAAGTAATTTAGGAGTGAAACAGGAAATATAAAACAAGAAAGCACAGGAAAGAATTTTTGGTGGTGAGGCTGGAGAGACAGCTAAGCAGTTAAGAGTACTTGCTGTTCTTGCAGATGACCCAAGTTTGATTCCCAGCACCCATGTCAGGAAGATCATAGCCGCCTACAACTCAAACTGCATAGGATCCAACAACCTCTTCTGGCTACTATGCATACCTACACGCATGTGGCATACATACAAGTAGACACACACCCATAAATAGAAATACATCTTAAAGAAATTTTTGGTGGCTATCTCTGGATGGGAATATTTTCAGAATTTTCTCCTACTCTAATTCTATGCTCAGTATAAAATAATATGTTGTAAAGAACATAGTGTAGTGTAGGCCTACCTTTCATGTTTGTTTATTTAGTTAAATTGTTTTTTGTTTGTGTTTTTTTGTCTGCTTGATTGTTTTGAGACAAGGTCTCACCCTATAGCCCAGGCTGACTTACAATCACTATGTTGCACAGGCTGGCCTGTACAGCAGTCCTCCTCTTTGAGGCCCGAGTGCTGGGATTACAATTGTGAATCCTCGAGTCTGGCAAATAGAACTCTGACTTTCTAAAGTCATGAGACTCAAGTAATATTAGAATGAATCTTCTATCTCTTCAAAGAATCAAGACTTCTCCCCCTTACACAGGTAGACAATTCTTATTTGTCTTATTCAAACTTGAAGAAATTTTCATGTACTTTAACCTTCTATCTATAGGTTGAGAATTGGACTTATTATTTCTTAAATCTGACATTAAAACTAATATAATGTAGGTAATTTTGTTGTCAGGTAGTTTGATAAGCAATGAACTTTATTTAGGTCCTGAGGCAAAAATAAATTTTTAAGTGGTTGCCTTATCACTTTCTGGGATTTACGATGAATATATCATTGGAGTGATGGGCAATGGACTATTTTAGAAAATATTTCATCTGCCACTACTGGCAAAATCTAATTATATACAGAAATGCTATCTTGTTCCCTTTGGGCACATGAGTCATAGTTACTGAAGTTACTCAGTGGGGAGGATGGGGTTTTGAAAGGTCTCCAAAACTCTATTACACTAACAGGACAAAGATATTGGAACCAATAGTACCTGATCCTTACCTGTCTCTTGAACATATTGATTAAACTGAGAAGCTTGGTTTATGTCTTCAGCACACTTTTCAAGATGAGATATCTGTATTTAAAGATAATTTTAAAAAATATGATTATTTTTAAGAAGCCAATGACTTGAACACAGCAAATAATCTTCATTTTAAAGTGATTTTCTTCTAAGAATTTAGTACATAGAGAAAGACACCACCCAATCTGTTTATCATTTGTTTTAGAGTGTGAACTCAAGTTATAACAGAGCAGATGTGAATGGAGCCTAAAATACAGTTATATTTTTAACGTGCCCATTTTTTTTTATTTTTGAAATAATTCAAACTGGAAAGTATGGTAGAGATACTGATACATATGGACACTAAACGTACATAGTAAAATCATACGTTTGCATCTAAGTCAGAACTACACAGATCTGGAGACATTTGTAAATTACTGTGCTCCACAACAATTACCATCTCAGTTTTGAGGACATCAGTTCCACGTATTTCAGAAACTTCTTGATTGTTCCTTATTTCCTGACTGCTGTGGACTGCCTCCTGAAAACAAATAAATAAACAAATGAACAGACTGACAGTGCTTTGGGGAAAGTCTGAGAGATGATGCATATTATGAGTAGAATGTCAATGGCAGATACTGCTGAAGCAGTGGCAAGGGAAGAAGCAGCTTCCTCAGTGTGCTAGGTGGCTGCCACAAAATACTGTAAATTGAGCTGTTTAAGATAGCACAGTCTAGCTGCTTTGCACTTCTGAGGTTCAGAAATTCGGAACAGAGCTCATTGGGTGTTGACAGGGTCACAGTGGGTTGACTCCTTTCTGCAGGCTCTAGGAAAGACCTCATCCTTTTTATGTCTTCTGGGGCAGCACCCCCTCCAGGGCTCACGGTCCCCTCTTTTGTCAGTCCAGGGTTCCCTCTCACTACCAGGCCTTTCTATTTTCTTTTTTTGTCTTTTTGAGACAGGGTCTCCCTGTAGCCCCAGCTGTCCTGGAACTCACTATGTAGACCAGGCTGGCCTCGAACTTACAAAGATCTGCCTGCCTTTCCCTCCCAAGTGCTGGGATTAAAGGCAAGCGCCAAATTTTAAGAACCTTAGTGATTACACTGGACTGACTCAAATTGTCCTGAATTAAACCCATCATAAAACCATCTGACCAGCAGCTTTATTTAATCTGAAATATTATTTCCTCTTTGCAAGGTGATTTAGCATATTTACCAGTTCTGGAGATTAAGATGTAGATATCTTTGGAGGCCACTGTTCTACTTACTACCTTCAGTAAAAAGCATGTACCCAGAATGTGAAAGATGAGCCTAGTAAAGGAAAGGTAAATTCTTGATGAAAAAGAAATTGGTCCCGTCGTTCATGAGACATATTGTCATATGTCCAGGATACACCCTGGTGTTCAGATTGGCTATCCAGTAAGATGAAACATCCAGAGTTTAATTCAAACATGTAACCTTTAACTATAACCAGTACAGACACGGCACATTGTGATAGTGTATATGTGTCTGACTTTACGCATAGAGCCATATTTTAGTTTGTTAAAGTTGAAAGGATACAAAACTGAGTTGGAGCTCCAGATAATTTTGGTGATTCCAGCTCTGATTTCACTATAGAGCACAATTCTGACATAAGTGCATGATTGATTGGTATAGTAAAACAATTACACACTCTAATAAAATAGTATCTGAAAATAGGGATGTGCTCAGTTGCCATAAAAAATAACTTGTGGGCTGGAGAGATGGCTCAGTTGCTAAGAACACTGGTTGTTCTTGCAGAAGACCCAGGTTTGAATCCCAGCATCCACATGGCAGCTAACAACTGTCTGTAACTCCAGTCCCAGGGGATCCAACAGTCTCTTCTGACCTCTACAGACATTGCATGACATGGGTGCACTTACCTACATGCAGGCAATACATGCATACACATAAAATAAAAATAAATAATTAAAAAAATTTAAAAGATGTGTGAAATTATTTGAAGTTTGAATTTCATAATTATCTTGATATATAAGTGTTTAATAGATACCATTTTTGATAGTTTGTTCTTAAAATTATTTGTTAAAGAATAATCAAGCGAGAATGGGCAGGTTATCATTATTAACAGGACAGAATAAGAATTGAGGTACTTTCTTACAGTGAGTGAGTTAGTTTTAAACTATCAAGTAGTAAATCTCTAAAAATAGAAATTAATTTATGACACCTTGATCTTGGCTGTGCATTTTCTGAACTAAGAGACACAGAACGTTACTTGTGTGGTTCCCCATGAGGATATCTGACATATCCATGAACTAAGGCATCTCATGAACTAAGGAGAGGGTATTCATTTATTCAGAGTGCTGTGGTATAATCTAATTCCATCACAATTTTCTAAGATGGAGAATTAATAAAAAGTTGCCCCAGAAGTCCACTTAAAAAGCTATGAGAAAAATGTGACCTTACACTTTAAAAATTTATGTGAATTTTGTTAAAATGAAGGTCACTGAATTTTTTTCTAAACACAATAGTTTCCCAGTCCTAATTAAGGACCTACATATTTTCAGTGATATTTGGTATATGTTTGACATGTAATTTGTGCTAAGGATAAGTTTATATAATGAATGAATTAGAACAGAATTGATGAATAAAATATCAAATTTTGATTAACATATTTGCCAGAGGTGCTATAGAAACTGGGGGATATAACAATGAGAGGAAAAAATATTTATTTTCTTAGAAGAAGTGTAGGAAACACACAATCCATGTAGTTTCCTTTAAGCTCAAAGAATCAGTACTCCATTTGACAAGATATCTTGCATAGCCATGCTTGATGTAATGGTATCAATAGTATCATGCTGGAGACATGAGAAGCACTATTGATGGCAGCAGGTAAAAAAAAAAAAATGGATACAAATGACAACTCTTTTGCTTAGTGACAAATCTCTCCATCTCAAACAAGTAATGAGGATATTCTATGATGTCCTTAAACACACATGGAGAAGCAGGAAGTGCACACTGGAGAGTGAACAGCAAAGGAAAGAATGTGACCTGAACCAAGGCATCAGTTGAGGTGTACCAAGATCACTCTACTGAATAATGTCTCTGGCTGTAAGTCGCACTCAGCACTGGCCCACTCTCACATACCTTATTTGTCTCACATAGTGATTTTTAATATTTTGGAGTAGTGAACACTAGCAAAGTCAGAGCTTCTTCCTACTTTTGAAAAGTGATTATCTGACAATAACTAATTCCAATATAGCAGTATCTGGCCAAGACAAAATGGTGGCCAGCATTTTGGATGGAGCAGATGGTAATAAGCCAAAATCCCTATTATTTCCCGATATTTAACATCAAGATGGTAATTATTTTTTCCTGGTACCCATAGAAATTTAAGTTTCTGATACTTGCAGCTAATTGTCGTCTGGAAAGAGTAAAGTGGCATAAATCTCTGTGTTAAGTAATAAAGAAAATATAAATAAATCTATTTTTGATATAGATTTCAAAATTTGTCATTTTCTGTTGCAAAAAGATTCATAACTAGCATGTAAAAACTCCAGAATAAATAATCAATGATTATCATCTCCAAATGCATTTTCTTGTAGATGGTGCAACACAAGCAATATAATTGCACATAAATTTTATTTATACTTTTCAGTTTCTTGTTCAGCATTTATGTGCTATTACTAAATAGAACTGTAATTGCTGTACTAGTTTGGTATGAGAGCATCAATGCATCAATTTTACAGCCCCCTGGTTGTTATAACTTGCATAAAATATCTCTTAAAATATTTCAAGATTTTGTTTCTATCATTTATTCTCTTTTCAATCTCATAACTAGTTTAATTTGGATTTTAAATCTGACTCTAATTTTTGGTGTCAATATAGTGTAGGATTAGGTAAAAGGATGCATCATTATAATGCACAGGCAGAACTCAAATTACACAGTAAAATGCAATAAAGAATTCTGGTCAGAACACTACTACACATAAATTCACATGAAACGATTCATGAAATTGGTTGCTGAAATTAAATACCAGTACCAACCAGACTGAACAAGAAAAAAAAATGTTTTGTTCACAGGTAGATTAACAAATAGCCAGGGATGAGGGATTAGTAGTAACTTCTTTCTGGATTGGGTGCGTTGCAATCCTGGGCAAACACTAAATCACATTTAAATTCAGTTACCATTAAAAGATTATATATATATATGCTTGAACTCTGAAATCTAAAAGAGAGATTGTAGGACAATTATGAAACAATATTATGGTTATAAATGGTTCACATGAATTTGATTTCAACTCATATATTGACCAAGAATATTACCAGAAATCTAATGTTGATATGCTCATCTTCTATGGAAATTACTCCCGCATAGGAAGTGTTTCACATTCTGCCTGCTCAATTTGCCATTGTCATTACAGGAAATTATATTGTAAATTTTTACTAACAAAAGTGCAAACTCATCCAAATTTCATCAATGACGAATAACAAAGTACATTGTACAAATGGTAACTCACTATTTAGGACTTTTAGAAATATACCCAATAGGAAAAAAATGTATGAGGAAGGACTGAAAGACTCATGGGTGCCTTTCTTTCAAAGTGAAAAAGAGAGACAGGAACAAAGATGTATATCCATGCTTAGTGTCAGTAAATCTGAAGTGTTATCTATAACTAATCTCATTTTAATGAGAGTAATAAGGGTTGTGATGTATTAACTTCTTGATATTTCTGCCAAACAGACAGAAACAATACAAAAACACCTATTATCCTGGGGAAAATGTCAGTGGATTCAAGGACTAACAGGGTAAGACGTTCTTCCCTTTTGGAAACCCTATGGTTTGCTACAATGCACTTATATTGATTTGCAAATATTCAGTTTAAAATTTTCCTTTGCTATGTTTCTTTTTTAAGATCCTGGGATATTAACCAGGTTCTAGTGGATGGACCCAGATTGAAGGACATTTGGAGACACAAATTTGGAGGCATGGCTCAAAAATTCTTTCTCTTTTAAGTCATTTCTGACTTTTCTGTACATGGTTAGGTAGTCTTGCTTTTTTTTTGTTATTCTTGTTCTTATGACTGTCTGTACACATCTCTACTATTTACCTATCACATTTCACAGCCAGAGATGACTGGCATGACTCCTTTAACTGAACTGTGATTGTATAGCACAAGTCCCCTTGTGCCAAAGTTCAGCTTCCCAACCCAAGGGAGGAGCCTCAGGAGATGTCAAGGAGTGAGGTCCTGTGAAAATAGTCACTGCTTTTCATCAAATGATGTAGAAATGTTATGATTTTTAGCTTTTTTTTTAAATTGAGATTCTAGAGTTATCTACATAGCCTTTGATTATATTTTGGCATTTTGAATGTCAGTCTTTGATACTGAGTATTTCATAATTGGTAGGTGAGGTTACTGAAGCTGATGTATACAACATTAGTATGTCAACTGCCTTATCAAGTCCACTCAGAGAAAGGGTCCTTGAAAACAGTCAAGTAATCAGAGCATCTATCGAACAATGTAGGAATTGTGGTGATGTGGTAAAAGGTAATGAACATCAGAGG